AATGAAGACACGGAGACAGTCAGAAATGGTTATCTATCATGTGTATTTAAACTTGGCAGTCTGCTAAATCCCAAGGGTAGCATGTTCATGGACTACTGTTTGGCTTGGCATTTTGCAGACAGAACAAATCTTTTGAAGTCTCATGAAAAGTTATGAGGATCAGAAGAAAATGAAGAAGACACAGCACCATGCTGTCCTCCACATGTCATTTAGTTACAATTTTTTGATCCATCTTCTCTTCTTTCTCCTCTTCTAGACATACCCGAATTCAGACATTTCAATATCTGAAAACAAAAGATGCAGTTCAGCAATACAACCAGTTCTCAGGTGCTATAAGCTGCTCTGGCTAGCGTACTAAAAATTGCAATAAAGATGCACAAAAGCAGAAGTTTCAGCAGGCTTTTTCAATGGGAGAAAAAAAAAATAAACACCAAAAGCAAGTGTTCCTTGCTAAAACCAAAATTTTTGTAGCTTTACATTTTAGAAACACTCAGACCTCTGTTCTCCATCCCAGCTTAATGACCATAGGGAGCCTAAAATGGCTTTCTTCAACCCATCCCAAATTAAATGAATAAATAAATAAGCAAATAAATAAAATAATAATCTAACAAGCAACAGATGTTTAAACTTGCTTCAGCTGCAATTGAAACAAAGTCTTTGTGCTACAGAGTGTTTCAAAGCTTTGCATAGTCCCTCTGTTTCTCAGTGGCAGTTCTTGTGGTAGGGCTAGGCAAGTACTTTTCTCCTTAGGCCCTGTCGTTCAACTCTCCACTGTTTTATATAAAAGAACTTTAATGAATGTGCCTGGCTGGCTCTTCTTTAGCCCACCAAAGCATCAGACTTCACAGAATGGTGTATGCTTTTATTAAATTCCTTTACAATTTCCTCACTAGGTCATTTCTCACTGGGGCTAACAAAACAAATCAAATGTGAAACTCCTAGACCAAGTCAGAGCATTACTTTTCCTCTCAGTAGTCAAAATGTAAAAAATGATACATCCAGTCATTCTAAGAAGAGATTTAAAATATTTATGTATCAAAAATCAAGTGTGCTGTGTTAATATAGTTCAGAATAGCTATGGTTGTAAACAGTGAGACAATTACACACTATTGTAAAATGACTAAAACAGAGCAAGGGACAGAAAACAGACAACAGTGTTCAACAAAACATTTTTAGGTAGTTTAGTATTTTTTACTTAAGTAGATGGTAGCAAAGGTCACTCTTTTGACAGCAGTTGTCGTTGTGGTTTAGTAAACAGAACTATATTAATGTTTCAGGGAATTCTGATTTAGACCTCTTTTCTGGGGAGCTGACTTCCTTTTCTTTTTTTCCCCATTAGATTCATTAAATACCATATTCCACAAACAGCCCTATTAAAGAAGTCATCCTGATTTTCGTTTCTATTAAGACATCCTCTGTATTTCTTTGTCATTGTATAGAGACATTAAGAAGGCCTGAACTCCAGCTAGGTCACATCAAACCAAACTGAGTTAAGAAAATGCAAACTCCGAGAATGGAATTACAGTCCAGCGTTTGTAGAGATTTTTCTCAGCAATTAATAAAGACTACTTATTTTCATGGTGTGCAGTTCAATAAGCATTAATTAAAAATTAATAGTATTTTCTTATCATAGAAATACCGAGGAAAGTAGATGTTTGAATATTTACTCAGTGGTAGGCAGTATCACTTGTAAATCACACTTTTCTAGTGTGTCAGTTCACATAACTCATACAAGGAGTAAGCTGAAAGGCTGGATGTCTTTCAGAAAGATGCATGGGCAAGCCTCTTGTGGGGGCCACGTTCAGGCAAAATTAACAAATCCAGTGACAGAATGTCTGCTTAACTCATAAATCTCTAGAGAATTTTTAGGTTTAGCCTGAAGCGATGTTTGTATGTATGTCAATGAACTGAAAATCAAAGCCCCTTGCCTGGCCTGGGGGAAAGGAAATGCATCATGAGAATAGGATACTTTCCAGCTCTAAGGATTCCTTATAATTTTCAACTGAACACCTCCAGGTTAATACTGTAGCAACAAGACTTTCACAGTGGAATGTATTGAACAGCCCTTTCTTGATTAATGCTGTACTTCTTCAGGAAGGATATAAAGGTCAAGGTTAGAAGGACTAAAGTGATTTACTAGCAGAAATCTGTTAGGTATTTTGAAGGGTGTTATTCAAATGTCTGCTTTATTTCCAAACAAATGACTGAGCTTGGATTTGGGTGGTTTAGATTCCAAGACTGCTGGAAAGGAGAAAGCAAGAAATTTGTTACTATTATTAAAAAACTGAATAAATAAACTTCTCAAGGGCCTTTCTAGTCTAGACTGCAAATGTCAGGCCCTTCTGACTTCCACAGTTGATAAATGTCTTAATGACACATACTATCTACCACTGCCTCTACGAAGTGTGCCTCTGAGTGCTACCATGCTATCAAAACAATCAGCATCTGGCTAAGTTTGTTTCTAGTGATGTCTAAAGAAAAATTGATTTCCACTCATTATAAAACAATTACCACTTAGCTGGAGGCGGATTTCATCAACTCAAAAGTAATGAAATAGTGATGTCAGATTAACAGATTTAAAATAAATTTCCAATTTATTCACTTTTAGTTTTCTAAAGAAGCAAGTATGAGAAGTTGTAAAATTATTAGGTTCTTTTTAAGATGTTTGAAATGCCTTTTAGGAAACCCTTGGACTTACCGATCTGCCCATATGATCAAACATCACTGAGAAAGTCAACGTCTATATATTCTTAGTGTAACAAATCTAGACTATTTGTGGTCTAATTTATGTAAAAACTTATCTGCCTCTACACTGTACTCTTTCAAAACATTTAGGTATTTCTTGTATCTATTTGGCTTAGTATTTTAGGTGAAAACTAAGAAAATTTGAGCGTGTTTGTCTTTCCTTTTTAACTTTGAAGCAAACTTAAGATGTATCATATTTAGAATTATTTTAATGTAAGCAGTACTATTTTGTTCACTGAGTCTTTGATAAACTTTGGCCAGATTCTCCACTGTCCTCCACAAGAGCAGTGGCCCATTTCCTCCTCACTGCAACTTTACATGTTGGAGATTCTCCATACAGAAAAGAAACTAGTTAGGTGTACTCATATAATAAATGCCTTTTTTTTTTTTTTGGATCCTTGGATAGATCCCTGTGAGTTCACATGTAACCAGATGAAAGAGAAGGCAGACTGTATATGCCAGATTGAAGTATTCAGAGTTAGGAGTTGCATCACAAAGAGTAACATTATTCCTTGAGGAAATTCAAGATTAACATATTTCTGACGCTGCTTTCCTGAAGATATCTCCCACAAAGCGCCAAAGTCATGGCCAAAGAAGAGACCATAGCTAATTCAGGTGGCACTTCAAAGTTAAGTTGCTGCTGATGGACAATGTTCCTGCTGGCTTCCCTCATGTTCCCTCAAATATGCCAGACTTAGAGATGGGCCCCATGGCCATTCTATAGCATATCCAGCAAAGCTTCATGAACTCATTTTAGCAGAATTGTGTCAGATTATTCCCCCTCAGGTAATTCTGCATGAAAAGACAAATGAGAAGTTATTATCTCTATTTCTAAATGGAAACTCTTTATTAAACATGCATATTGTTCCTACACTAAAACTTCAATGACTGGAAAAGAGTTATGAGCAAGATGTGTGGGGTTTTTCACCATTCTACTTTCTGGGAGTCAAACAGAACAGGTAGGCCAGCTTTACTGGTTTTTAGTGGCTATTGGCTTTGAAAATAATTTTTGTTAAATTTTGGTCCATTATCTCAATCTTCTGTGCTTTATCATCTTGAACAGGTAGCTGGATAACAATTTAAAAATGGATAGATGTTTGGCATTTGGGAAATTTTTTTCTCTCATGAAATGATTGAATGAGACTATGTCTATTAAAATAAAAAAATTATATATCTCTAGGTCTGCTGGACTGATATGCCTAGAAGCAATGTCATGTCATTTCTCTCCCTGCTAACTCCTTTATTCATTATCTCTCCTTTTACACTTAAAAGAAGCACCTTTAAGATCAGGGAATTTAAGTACAAATGGATTCTGGTCTCATCGTTTTGATATTTTCTCAGTCACAAAACTAAATTTGAAATAGCTAGGTCATTAATGCAATGGGGTTTTTTACCTGTACTACCACGTGGATCACTTAAATTGAATAAAAAAGTATATATCTTTTTTACAAATAGCAAATTTTAAAGAGAATTCTCAAAAGTAACTTTGAGGAAAAATCATTAAATTTTGTCAATAAAGTACTGAGTGAGTCAGGCAGTTCTACTACTTTAACGACCAAGAAAGATCTCTGCCAAGAACTTCATGATGAATCTTTTGAAATTAAAATACAAAACAGGATGAGATAAAAAGAAGGTCAGAGAGCTTGTGTGAGACCTTATCAGGCAAGACTTTTCATTATTATCCTCTTGTGTAACTTTTACTTTGGGTGGAAATGGGTTGTAAAAGTTAATGATTTAAGAACAGCAGAATCCTGTGATGAAATCTTGCCCACAGTGTTTCAATATAGTTTGAAAGACTGAGAATAAGTGATTCATGCACTATGTGTTTAAAGGCAGATTAATTACTATATATTTTTTGATAGATTCTACAAGAATTTGTGGATAAATGTGAGGTACTCTACTGGTTCTGTGGAAAAGATGAAACCATATGTAAGTTATACCATTGCTCTTTGACTTGATCATCACTAACGAAAAGAAAAAAAAAATGGTGGTGTCTCGCTAGCTTGTAAAACTTCCCAAATATACACTTCTTCTGAAATGTACAACTTGAGAACTGTTAAATAAGAACCTGGCTTGGACCATTAATAAGCACCATCTGTTAAATGTTCATGTAAGATTTTTACATCCAGAAAGATTTTTAATTTTAAATTTCATGGATAGATTTTTTTAAACCAAATAACATTCTCTCGTTTTTTAAGGTTGAATGTTGTGACTGATAAAAATGTGTGCATTTTCATACACAGAGCCAGACAATACAGGTTTTTAGCAGTGTTTATTTTTCTAAAAAAAACAAAAGAAACCAATGAATTTGAAAGGAAGTTATATCTGTCTTTTGATTGCACACTTTTTAAACAAAAATAATACAGGGTGGAGAATGAAAAATACAATTTTTATGTTGCTACTTCGAAATAACACCTATGTCTATGAATGTTCAAAATTAAAATATATATACCAAGAATGCTAAAATGTCTATTTTACATTATCTACAAAATTATGTTCTAATCCAGCCACAAATCATAGGAAAATACTTTGATACATATGAAAAGCTATAAACATAAGGAAATTTTGAAGGGAAATAACACACATAAAAGCTCATTAAATAATTACAACAACAAATAAATAGTTTGTTCAGCTTTACTTTTTGATTGCTGCCATGCATATTTTAATTTTTGGTATACTGAGATAAGAGAAAGGTGAGCATGCAAAGCATCTTTTTAGAATGAATCTGAAAGCAGATACAAGGTGGTGTATTTTTAAGCTGTTGTCAGAAGTTCATAAAACATGATATAGAAGGCAATAGATGTGATAACTGTTCTCAGGAAAACACACGACAAAGCATCTTTTTACAAAATAGACTTCAGTGAAGACTCGTGGCAAATATTCTTTGCCTCCATGGGTGGAGAACATGTAAAAGTTTATAGTATGGGCTTGGAAGGCTTGTGTTATTTCCCATCTTGAGCATCTGGAAAATCACCCAAAATGTCCATATGCTGAGAATGCCCCTTTTGATTTTGGTCAAAGCAAGTAGTGTCAACTGAGAACACAGCAATGGCAGACTTGTCTTTAAGCAGTCAGAAGGGTAAAGCAAATGGTTACAGGTGAGTTCAGTTTTGGCACGAGGAGAGGGAGATGAGAGAGGAGAGAATGTTTGACTTCTAACTTGTACTATGTTTGCTGGATTTACTGGCTCTTTTCCTCTCTTTGTGATGCTGGATAGGTTTTGCTTGAGAGGTTCCCTCGAAGTTGTGGCTGGACTCGTTGTGCTGCCTGGTGTATCGCTTGCACTTGCAGGCTGTGACCACAGTTATTTTGTAGGTTCTTATACTTCCATCCTGGCATTGAAGCTGGATCCTCTGAGTGCGAGTTTTGTCGTTGACACATCTCCACTCTTGCGAGCTCCGCCTGCTCCAGTACTTGGTTCCGTAACCTCCTCCAATCCAGTTGGGGAGCAGTGGCAAAGGGAGGCATTCACCAGCACACACCAGTTCCTTCAGGGGGTTAATGCTGGTGCACTGGCCATCAGAAATGTACTTGGTGGATCTCAGTTCCCGACAACCAACTTGAACACGATCTGTAGAATGCACAGAACAATAAACACTGAAATTCAGAATGGAGCAATTTCCTCAGCCAGTCATTTTCACATTAACCAGGTATGTTTTGCAGAAGTTAAAGTAGGCTGTAATCTTTACAGGACATCTCTTTACTATTGTGTCCCCCAACACAAGGGCCTCAAGCGCTGATGGTATCTCTGGGTAATACCAGAGCATAAAGAAATCCTAATGATATGCACTTCAGCAGTTGTGGTAGAAGAGGCAATTTTATTCTCTATCCTTCTTCTCAGGGACATACCTTTTAGAAGAGAAAAATGCCCCAAGGGAAGAAATGTTTCCTGTTTGTTCTCAATCTAGGGAATCTGCTCTGTGATGTTCACAATTATGTTGGATCATTAGCAAGGGGGAAAATAATGCTTTGGAAATGGTTTATATGCTTCTAAATGAATTTCAAACAGTGTGTGTCTTCTCATTCCATGGTTACAGTGGACTGAGTCTCCCATGAACTCTGTGGCCTCAAACACAGATACTGCAGAAGTGGTAACAGCTGAAGTTACCAGGGAATGGGGTTCTGCCTGTGAAATTTGAATGATTAGCCGTAACAATTTCAGAGGGGTCATTTTGCCCTCAGGATAACACCATCTTTGTATCTGTAGTAGTCTGTATGTTATATGTTACATAGAGGATCCTGCAAATTCTCTCAGGCAACTGACAGAATCAACATGCAGAGCTTCTCATACAGGCATGTTTGTACCCGTCTATATGTGCGGCTCTGCACTCCCTGCAATAAACACAACTGTTTATTTCAGTAATTACACTTTGAAATAAACGCCCACAGCGCGCTTAATTTTAATAAGCAATCTTTACTGGCTGTGCTCTCCCTCTTTCTGAAGGACAATTACGGCGCGGATTCTACACACAATGCAATTAACTAACGCTTTTAAAATAGAAGTAATTACTAGAAACATTTCAGAATGAATCATAAAAGGCTTTGAAGGTACATCTACATATCTCAGCTACAGGCTGCTTCTGTTTCTACTTGGATTTTTGGAAGCAAATTCTGAACAGAGACACTGCATTAAGATTACTTCACCCTATCCTCTGTGTCTCATGGTGGGCAGGCAGAGGGACTGTAAATCTGCAGGCTGACCCCAGGGACTAGTGACAGGGCTGCTGTCCTGATTGCCTTGCAGAAAAGATTCAGGCTTGCCTTCCTGCAGCTGCACTCAGGAATGTACCTGGAAGCAGCTGTTCACAGATCTAAGTTTGTCTCTTGGTTTTCTGTCTTTCCTGGCTCAGCTTTTTGCCAGTGACAGCTCATTGACAACGAATACCTACTGGGCTGCTCCAGTAATCTTATAATGATGAGATGTTTCCTGTGCGCTTAAAACCTTAGCATTCACAGAAGCTGACACACCTGGCTTAGCTGAAAGGTATCGGTGTCACTTGTTGCCTTCACTTTCCAGGGATGACTATTTTTATCGAATTGTTGTGGGTTGGTGTGTGTATGCTTCTCTGTTTGGATTTGTTTCATTTTGAGGAGGTGGGCAGGGGAGGGAACAGATAAAGTCAGCAGGTTTCCAGATCCCCGTGTATCTGACATATATACATAAAACTCAGCAGGAGAAGACTAGATATAAAAAGGCAAGTTAGAGCAGAGATCATAGGTAAATTATGAGCTGATTTGTTTACATTTGCTGGAGGTGTTAAGCGGTTAAGAGCTATAGCAGGAAGTAAAACCAAACAGCGGGAACGAAATTCAGAGTATTTCATTGCATTTGAAAAGTAGCTCAGACACCTTCCCTGCTCGTAGTGGGAGATAAGAAAGCGAGCGCTCTGGAAATGCCTTTCACCCCTCTTCCTTTATCTCGCTTCCCTGCCGGATAACCCACAGAACGCGGCATTCCTGGATGAACCTCCCTCAGGAAGTAACCTGGCCGAGCGAGCCGGTCCTACAGGACTCCCCAGCACGGGGGAGGGCGGGCTGTTGGCTCGGGGGCCGCCTGGCGAGGCAGATCCCGGCCCGGAACCAGCAGCATCTCCCCGCGCCCCGGCTCCCCCCAGGCGCCGGTTCCCTGGAGCGCCGCGCTCGGGCCGGGGGAAGCACGGGGCGCTGGGCGGGATGCGCGGCTCCGGTCGGGGGCTCCGCTCCCGGGACCGGGACGGGCACAGCTGCCGCCCGGGGCTGCGGGACGCGGTGGAAGTACCGCCGGTGGGATACTCACTGTTACGGTCGGATCCAGTGCTGGTGTAGTGCCTGCCTCCGTTCCTGGCTTGATTCAACGTGCTGTTGCTGCTTGGGCTCGCTGCAGCGGGTTTAACAACGTGTGAATAAAGTATCTCTGTGGCATCGTTCTTGAAAGCCAAGTAGCTTCTCGTGAAGATGAAAGTCAGGAGAAAGCCATAGAAGTGAATGGCAGGGAGAAGCATGGCTGGTTCAAGCTGTCTGACAGAGCTGGATGAAATCTTTTCCTTCTGCTTCTTCTGGGTAACTCTGCAATTGCTCTTGAAGATTTCCTTTATATATTCAGGGAGGTTTGGCATTCATTCAGGTGTAAAGTTGTGGATAGCTTCAGAATGAAAACCCACAAAAGGGGTGGGATCCCTACATGAGCTGCGAAGACCTTTCACCAATAGGAGAGAAGACTGCAGTAAAGGAGGAGTTAGATGCACTAATTGCAGGATTCCTATTTGAGGCTTTTGAGGGTATACAGAAAACTCTTAGGCACCATCAAACAGCAGAACTCGGACTGAGACCTAGAGACGGCCGTGTCTACTGTGCCATTCCCTGTAGCCCCGTGTGCCTGGCACTTTTGTGTGATGTGACTAACACGGTGTCAGAATGAGTCTCTCTTGCTCCTCTTATGCGAAGTTTCATACCATCTTCTCAAACTGAGATGAACTCTGTAAGGATGCAAAAATTTATAGAACTTAAAGAAGACTGCTAGTTACACAAATACTGTCTGCAGTATACCAAGATCATTTAAAAAAATATTGTGAATAATTTAAAGCTGCCTCTAGATGCTTTAAATTATGCAGCTTTGATCAACAGGGAGCACTGCAAAAGAAATTGCTTGTTTTAGAGGAATATTCTCTCCCTGGTGTGCAAAGTTACAAGTATGTATTTCTGTATCACCACATAAAAAGTATCTCCTCTAGGCTCTTAGTACAAACATATCCATATTCATAGCCTCTCACCATGCTCATTCACCAAACTAGTCTTTTTTAGTTTTGTACATTGCCTAGAGCATTCTTATATTTTTAATGCATTATTTCATGTGATAAAGGAAACAAAGAGAAAACATGCAAATCTCTTTCAAATTTTCAGAAGAATAATCCTTACTTTGGCACAGTTTTACTGTGTCAGGCAGTTACTTGATTTTACATAAAATTACATGGCCCAAATCCAAACACTAGTGTAAACTGAGATGCTGCCAGTAGGTCAATGCTTGTCTATATACTGGTGAATGTTCTATAGATTTTTGCTATAAATAAAACAACAGTGATCAACACTGAAAGGTCTAGCGTTCTAATTAAATGGAACGTTTTTCTTGGGAAAAAACACAACCTTGCAGAGGGCCACGTTATGTAAAGGTTAGACTCTAATCTCGCTTACACACTGAGTAACTGAGTTGATATCTATAATCATACCGGATTTTATTGCTGTAATAAAAGCAGAAGTGGAACAGAGGTTAGTTACCTCTACTGCCAGGATCAAAATCTCAGTCATTCAGAGAAGACAACTTTGTTTCATCCTAGTCACAAGCAGAGGTTTGTCTGCATCAGCAACACTTTCCTCTTGCATCACTAAGAAAGTTATCCTGGATTTCAGCAGGAGTAAGAACAGATCCACCGTAAGTGCCAAATTGATAGCCTTTGCTTAAAGGACACAGGAAAAACAGGAGTGTTGCAAGGTGAAGTGAGTTTTACTGGCAGAGCTGTGTGTGGGGAAGTTGAGTTGATTGCCTGCATCTATTATGACTAGCCCAACCCAGTTCTGGAATAACAAGAATGTTGCAAGGCAGAGCGAGATCTTTCAGCAGAGTAATGTATGGAGGAGTGGGATCACTGCTATCCCCTGACAGAGCTGCAAGTTCCACTCTCATGGAACATCTAATTCAACCACAAAAGCAAAGATGTGTGTTTTACCTTCCCTTGAAAAAAAAGTTTTCTTAAGCAAATATCAAAAAATATATGTACATTACAGACCATTAATATTTGAGCTTTTCTTTTTTTTTTTTTTTTTTTCAATAGCAGTGAACCAAAGGTCTGCTTTGTTGATGTTCAGGTCCTACTTCATTTTTTCTCATACTCACAAATCATAAAGATCTTCACATATCTCACCTTCCCTGCAGGATAGTCTCTGTGCTGAATTGAGCCACTATAATTAAAAGCATGGAACCAATTTTCCAGTTATCCACAGTACCTGTGTGTACGCGTCAGCGGACCTCTTCCTAGTAGAGAGATTTTCCCACATTAGACAAGACTTAAGAAAGTCAGAAGTTTCCTTGAAAACTGTTTTCTTTGAAATAAGGCATATAATCTTCTCACAGGGCAAATGAATGGGGCTTTGGAGTGGTTATAGAACTGGGTCTACAAGGAGCTTGCTAAGTCTTTTCAGCTTTCAATGAAAGCTAAAAGTCATCCTTTCAAATTTAGTCTGCTTGAAACCATTAAGTTCGTCACGTAGATCTCTTGGTCTTGTCACTTAGAGAAGGAAGACCTCAAGACAAGCCTCTCACATCCTTTGTAAAGGAAAAGTTTGGCCCAGAGTTTGCCACAGGAAAGAGAATACAGATTACCTCATTTTTCTGTGCACTAGACACAGAGTAGACATTATTATAATTTTATATGTATTTTCCACTTGTTAAAAATATGGTATGAAAATATCATAATTTCAGTTCCTTGGTCAGTACTGTCAGCCTCCATGCTTTGAGAGGTAAGCAGGCTTCTGAGGAGTTTGTCAGTTAATTTGATTTATACTTTCTTAATCAAACCTAGAGCTTGCAGTCTTCCACTTTTTCTGAGTCTCCCTGAGAGAGATTAGAAGTTGCTCGAGAGGAAGGGATTCTAGTCAGTCAAATTTGGTCATTCTTCCACAATGAACTTCAGAATCAAAAGGTGTTTCTTGTTGCTTAGCTCAGAACGAGTTCCCAGACTTTACATATTTTTTGCTATCGTTAGTTAGATGTTGTGATAAGTTCACAAAGGTGAAGGCTGTAAGTTACCATTGTAGCTTCCAAAGCAGACTTATACAACATATAGTCTATCCTCATTCTAGTCAGATTCAATGGTTTGTTTAGAAGATTGCTCTGCTTAATCTGTAATATTGGCCATAAGGAATATATTACACAAGGTCTTTGAAGTCTGTACTGGCTTCCTTTTTGCCTCTGGGCATAACTCAGGATGTTCTTATTGATCTATAAAATCCTATATGCTTTGAGTCCTAGGCAATAAATTCTATCTCCTTTATCTTCCATTGTGATGCTCAAGATCAGCTGGGGCACACTGACTGTACCTGAGTGTCTGGAGAGGTTAAATGCTCAGTGTGAAAGGTCCAGGAGACTGGATTTCACTGCTGCTAAGGATCCAAGAGAGCTTTGTTCAACTACTTGGCATGGAGTAAAGGCCATTGTTTAGTCAGGTGCTTGAAAGGTGACTGTTGGGAAGGCACAGGGCAGAAACCCATTAACCAGAATAATTTAAATGTTTGTACATATACTCAGAAATAAAGTGCTACATTTAACTACACACTTTTTTCAGCTTAACTGCTCCTCTTGTCTTGACAGCCTTGCTTCTGAGTGAACCTAAACATAGTGGTAAAGCCATCCATCATGCTTCAGAGAGGATGGTATCCAGAGTTATACACACTTTAACTCTTGCCTTTTCCATTTTCTGTGATGGAAAAAACACGTTTCTCTCAATGGATGTAGAATTAGGCATACATTCCCTAAAGATCCTAGAAGAGAATTCACTTCTTTATGGTCATTTATAAGTCTGTCAAGATCCCATCCTCCATGTTTCTTAGACACTATAATGATGTCCAAAGGGCAAAGTTTTGTGCAGAGTGCACACACCTGTCTAGCAGCACAAAACAGCCACAGGGAATAGAAGGGTATGCACTGACAAGTACAAATGACTGTCAGAGAGCCTTGTCTTTGCAAATCACATGATCACTGCACATGCACAAAATAAGAAGGAATCCTCAATTTTTCATAAACTTAGGCCTGTCCTGTTTTAGTAATGACAGGAAAAGGCCAAAATTAGAATGAAGGCGCTGTGGAAATAAAGGTTGACAGTTTGGTTTTATTTATTTTTTTTTTAATCCCAAAGACCATTAGAGCACTGCACTTCTGACTTGTTTTCAAAGGCAGATACTTTGAGAGTAAGTATAGGCTCAGATAAATGACTGCAAAAAAGAAACTGACATTTATTACTTTGCACCTTAAAACAGAAATGACTGTCAGGCTATTTTCTGTTAAGCAATAAGCATATTAGTAATGCACTTCAAAGCAGCATAAAATGTGATTTGGAGGATGATAAGAGAACTTGTCTGAAAGTGAGGTAAAATTGTAATAAGTGCAACTGTTGAGAACTTGTAAGGTGTTGTGCAACAAGTTAGCATAATTTTAAAGCTCATACAGAAAACATGTTAGAGAACCATGATATGTCCCCGTGCTGCAAATTCTAAAACCAAAATTTTTTGAATACTTTTTTCTCTAAAGACAGAAGTTTTTCTAGACAGACACTTGTTAATTTTCTAATTAAATTACATTTGAGAGATTAAATGGAAAACATAACATATATTCTTATTAGGGAGAATGACTAATTAGTTCTGATTTATGCCTTCGTCTCTCTAAGATGCCGAATTACAATTTTATTTTTTCTCTACTTGCTCTTATACATAATGTAGACAGAATAATTTAGGTCAGACTGTGGCTTCAATGCAGGTAATTTATCACTTTTATTAAAAAAGACACTGAAAAGGGGGAATATCTAATTTTTTAAAAAAATTCTAGGAAAATGTACAGTAGAATGAAGAACTGTCCATGCTAATTATAATTGCCACCTCTTCTTAAGCATTTGCAGTAAGATTTTAACACAAGATTAAAGACAATGTGGCTTATCATCCAAAACAAGTTTTATGATTTCCGCATGTGTTGAAGAAGAAAAACCAAATATGTTTTCCAAAGAAAACAAAAAAAGAGAATAACAGCTTGTCCACTCAGGATAACATTTTTGGAAACTCTTAAATGACACCAAAATGTAACACTTCTATTTTAAAGAGATTTAGGGCAATAAATATAGATTTTATTTTTTTTTTAATGCACATAGACACTGAAGTCAACTGGACTTCAGTATCTGCATACTTTCTAAAGTGTTGCCCTAAGGAGTGAAAGTCCTATTGATTTTCAGTGAGCCAGTCACTTAAATGCTTTTGAAAATTTTACCCTCAGGTTAAAATTCTGAAACTCCTACTCAATGTTAAACAGGCAAAGTCCCATCAACATGCCCTAGTTGCAAATAAAATAGAAACTGAGTAAGGGTTTTGAAGTCTGACTTGTTTCTTTACATGTAATTAACTGAACTCTTAATATATCACTATGTTTCAGTAAACTGCTTTGTGTTTCTAATTATGTGGTCTGAACTGATTACAGTGTATTTAAAAAATGCACACTCTACAACAAACCAGCTAAGAGAATCTGGCACAGTGTCAGGATTTCCTAGGCAAACACTTGCCAAACCTGTTGTTAGATCCAAAGTCATAATTTAAAAACAAGCCTACGAGGTATCTAGAAGAAGATCGCTCTTTCCTTCCTTCTGCACCATCTCCCACTCCCTTACAAGGGAA